AGTGTGAAAGAATGGCGTGTGTGTGGATGCTAATGAGGGGGGATTGATGTGTGTGCGGGTTTTGCGAATGGGGGATTGGATGTTGTGATGATTTAGGGGGTTGGTTTTGTTGTTTTGGACGGATAGCCTGGGGGAGTTTGTGTTTGTTTGTTTGTTTGTTGCTAGGGTCTGGGGAGAGTGGTGTAGATGAGGGGGGTTATAGATGGGGTGGGTGGGTTGTATCTTTATTGTTGTGTTGGCTTTTAGTTTAAGTAATATGAAAATAAGATGTAAATACAATATATATATAGTTGGGAAGTCTGGAAGAGAATTGATATCTTTTTTAACGAGATTCTTAGGATTGAAGGATATTGGTAGGGCTGGCGGTAATAAATAGACTGGGGAATAGCACTTTATAATAATTATATTATTAAATATTTAATTGTTACGACGGATCTCACATACCTAACATCACGTGATTAGCATCATGTGATATGAGGATCCCAGTAGGCTCAGCTGTCCCAGTACAACTGGGACAACTGGGAGCACTGGGACGCATGCCACGATGGTCTATATAATCAAGATGGATTTCCTTTGTATAGAGCTTCGTGCTCAAGATCAATCATTTAGTATACTCTACTATTAGTTACGAATTGCATTATTGTCATTACTTTAAGTCCCTGCTTGACGCCTAGTTATAAACCACCTCGAGAGCCTAGAGCACTTCCACGTGATCTAGACGGCAAACCTCGTAACATTAATGTAGATAGCATATATTTATAAATAAATATAAAAGTAGCGGAGATAGTAGATAAATAATTTATTTATTTAATTGTGTTTTGTTTAATATATATATATATATATATATACTACTGTGACGCCTCACACCTCCGGGTCACGTGGCATGCCCCGTTTGTATTTAATCATAGGAAAACTCTCTACTCTTGTTTTCCTTCTTCTTTTCTCCTTAGCTTAGTATTTTCTAATACAAGATACTTTACCCAGTATTCTTGAGTGTGACAACTACTAGGTATATAAATGATCAAGTCTTAAGAATTATAACTAAGCATTAATTAAATTGACTCGATCTTCACAACAAATCAAGAGCTTTTCATTGGTAGGAGATTGTTTTGGCACGGACCAAACATAACTCACCAAGCGGTAACAAAGGGCAAAATAAATAAAGACCGTGATGTACGCGACTTGGGTAGGAGACGCGCAAAGTGGAAAATAATATTCATGTAAATTCAACATTTGAGAGTCCTTTCACATAATGGATTCAATTCATGAAGGTTATCCTGATGCAGCAACAGGAGATACTACTTCTCAACCTTTAAAAGGCATAATTGTTTGCTGTACTAATGTGTCGGATGAAAAGCGTGTAAGTTTTGTCTATTTTATCAATGTTCATGAGTATTGAATAACCATGATCTACATTGACTTGCATGATTTTGCAACTTACGCCTGCGCATTACTCAAGTTGACCTCCATCGCTAACATAGACAACTATATAGGCAGAATTAATTGCTCAGGCAGAACAAATGGGTGCCAATGTTCGAGCTGATCTCACAGTCGAAGTTACCCACCTTGTCGTTGGACATTGGGATAGCCCAAAATATCATTATGCTGCCCGATTTCGACCAGATATTCGACCAATGACTATGGATTGGATTGCGACGGTTCGGAACCTTTGGGTAAACGATCATGATATAGATATGGATTTATTGGAACGACAACATACGCTACCTACACTCACTTCCCTCAGAATTAGCTTGACGGGGTGCGATGACACGGCCGAGAGACAGGATATTGCGGAGAAGATCAAAGCAAATGGGGGGGAATATGATGGGAATTTGACCAAGCAAATTACACATCTGATATCATTTCGAACGGAAGGCAACAAATACAAGGCAGCAAAAAGTTGGGGCTTACGGATAGTTTCTGCTGAGTGGTTATTGGATAGTTTGGAAAGAGGAATGATTTTGAATGAGAAATACTATGATCCTTCTTTACCAATAGAAGAAAGGGGAAAAGGTTCTTGGGATAAAAATAAGCCGAGGATAAATTCATCGAAAAAGAGGGCCAGGGAACAAACTCTGTCTGGTATCGAAGAGGGCAAGAGGAAATTACGCAGGACTGCGAGTACAAAGTTGAACACCCAGAGTCAAAGTATATGGGGAGATATTGTTGGTAGTGGTAATAAGATTCAGGTGTCGAGAAGCGGGATTTGGGATACCTGTGACAGCTTTGGGCCAGCAGAAAAAGAACAATCCGAGAAAAGCAAAGAGGTAACACCACCGGAAGCTAAAACCCTTGACCTTGTTCAGGAACCGAACCAACCAGTGGGTGGCATATTCTATGAGTGTCGATTTTGGACTCACGGGTTTTCCGCTAAGCATACACAAATACTGGGAAATCATCTAGTTGCAAATGATGGTAAAGTGCTTCAGAATGAGTCTGACCTAAGTGCTCCGAACGCAAGGAAATGGACTTATGTGATCGTTCCATCTCATCTCCCATCCTCAAAATATCCCAATTTAAGCTCAGAGGTTGAGATAATTACGGACTGGTGGGTCGAACGATGTTTGCACCTGAAAAAATACCTTGAACCAGACGAACACGTTCTGGGAAGACCATTTCCTAAGTTTCCTATAGAAGGGTTCAGTGATTTGAAAATCTCATCCGCAGCATTCACCGGCATTGATATTCTTCACGTGAAGAGAACCACCGAATTACTCGGAGGTACATATAGTGAAGACATGACTCCACAATCCTCAGTTCTCGTTACAAAATCTTTAGTAAGTCTTCGGAAAGACAAGCTAGAGCACGCTCAAGAATGGAAAATTCCAATTGTTACAGCCGATTGGCTTTGGGATTCTATCAAGTCAGGAACCAAATTACCATTCGCCAAATACAGATACAGAGCCAAGAAACAACCAGCTTCAGCACCTATCTCGAAAAAGGAATCAAAACAAAGACACGTTGGCAACCCCGAAGGAACAAGTAACGAAGACACAGGCTCAAAATCTAGATCAAGTACACTCCCCTCGCGGTCTTCATCTAAGCCAATCCGCATTGCTCCTCTAGATGAGAGCGCATTTGCACCATTAGAAACAAATTCTACCCCAATAAAAGAAGAACAATATTCAGTGCCACTCCCTATTCACCTCGAACCCGAATCATCAGAACTTACGCCTCCACCTCCTTCGAAGCCGGAACCTCTTTTTGAAATTCCTCTCAATTCACACTCCGCAAATCCTACCCCTACAACCAATCTCCATCCCTCCACTACCTCGGAAATCCCCGAACAAAAATCCATTGACATCAGCTCCCTCCTAGCCAAAACAAAGCGACCTTCCTGTTCTTCAGTTTCTATCTCAAATGCCAAAGCTATCACCACCGATCAGAATTCTAATCGACCTCGCCAACCTCGCGGCAAAGCAATCATGGGACGTGCCCTATCCAACGTCTCCACCGCTTCGCTCGCCTCATCTGTGGATTCCACTGCTACCAGTGGCCCTGCAGTAATATACCCTCGCCCACAAGAATTATCTAATCAAAATCATGAAAGTCAAGACGAAATGAACAAATTCATGAATCTCCAAGGTGAACGCGAAAAACTTGCAAAGGAAATTCCTCCAGCAACACAATTAGGTTATAGTGATAAAGAAGGTGAGGAGTATAGAATGATGGTTCAAGGAATCATGGAGGGAAAGGAAAAGGAAACGATCGAAAAGGAAATGAGTATGGTGAGGGAAAAAGAGAGAGTGAAGAGGGGATTGGGAAGGAAGGGGACGATTGGGGATTTTTCAAATAGTGAATCAGTTGGAAGGAAAGGAGGAGGGACAAGAACGAGTGGGAGGATTAGGAGGGGAGGGAAGGGAGGG